TGAAAAGCCTGCCGGTTATTCCCCTTTGTCTGTTGCACCCAACTGCTGTTTACCCTAATCTGGCATTTGGAAAAATCTTGTCACCCAAATTACATTAGCAGAAGGTGAAAGTAAGCAAGGAGGAAACAAGGACAACTGCATATATTCCATGTGGGTAGATTACTTGTTCTTTTCCTGTGGAACAACTGCGGATGTTTTTCTTAAAAAAAAAAAAAAACAAAAAAACACAAACCACCAACCAACCCCCAAACCTCTGGCTAACTACCAGCTTCAGCTACACCAGCCATACCCAGCCGTATGCATGTAGCTGAGTGATGCACCCCCAGAGCAGGGCACATTCCAATTACTTGGCTCTTTGGGATTAACTGTCCCTGTCATCAAGTTGGCTTGGACTACTGTTGCTGTTGATCATGCAGTGCAAATCTTCCTGAGACAGACTCTCAGGCTATTGATTACAAAAGATAGCCATTTCGACAACCATCACATAACAAAATCCAAAACCTCAATGTTGCAGACAGTTGTTGCCATAGATAAGAACTGTTTATTGATCACAGACAGATATGAAAATACGCATCCTTTACACTAAGCGATGTTGAATATCTAGTGTAGCAAGATGAAAGTCATCATTCTATGATTTATGCCACTTGGGGGAAAGCGCTCTGCCAGAACGTGGGAGGATGTACCTTATCTAACATCCTACCTGACACGTAGCAGCTGAGAGCAACAAGCAGGAGGAGAATTACAACGCTTCTGCTTGTGAAACATCATGCCTGAGGAGCAGAAGGGTGTGGATTTACCCCCACCTCATTTTAGGTGTCTAAACAAAGCATCAGTGTCATCACAATCATCCTGGGTGCTCCCTCAGAGCAAGATGCAGTTCAGATTTTAGGAGGGATAAATTGCTTTCTGCAGGTATCTCCCTCTCTCTTGACCACAGGAGACGAGCTACACTCCTCACCTGGGAGGAGTCCAGCTGCAGAGAGGGAGCAGGCTGGCAGAAACACTGCCTGAAGGGAAGATGCTTGTACTTGTTTGGAGCCACTCTTAAGGAAGGGAAGGGGGAAATCCTAAAAGACTGGCTCAGGATTTCTCTGGTGGCGGGGACAGCCGCAGCCAGCAGCATGTCCAGCAGATCCTGTTATCTCCAGCCCAGAGGTGTGCTCAGGAGGAAGGTTGTGCTGGGACAGTCCCTATGAGATGAGAACTTCCTGTGATGCCAGTCCTGAAGCTATGCCGATTTACACTAGGATGAAAATAGCCCTCGGAGGTTTTACACTAGTGAAAGGTCATCCAGGCTGGGACATCAGGGCCAATGTATAAAGGAGCAGGTGAAGTAGCAACCTTTCTCCCTATGCGCTGGAGCTCTGCTCTAAAGATAGACTCCTGAACTATTTATTGGGGCAATTGTGTGTCCACTCTGCCTAGGAACAGGTTCACCTCTGAATGCTGTCACCATTAGAATATGTATTGGACAGTTTTGAGGAGTCCTGGGCTCAAGCCAGGATTGTACTGTGCTAACAGAAAATGTAAAATATGGCCCTGTCCCATGTTCCCTGCCTTCCACGAGCTTGCTCACAACATGTTCCCGGTTAACGCTTTCTATGAAAACTGGGCAGATCCCCTTCTCAAAACCCACGGGACTCCTCGGTGCCAGCAGAGCTTATATCCACGTAAGCTACACAGATGGACAAGTTCAGTGCACCTCCTTGGTGCCAATGTGTGCAAAGGAAAAGTAAGCTTTTACTTTCACAGCAGACGCTGCTTTTCTGGGGGTCGGGGGACACCCTGCAGGTATCCACTCCTTCCTCTGGCCACAGAGCTGCCAGCAAGGAGGAGAAAGAGCAGAGAGGAGGTGGCTTCAAGGAGGATTTGGAGAAGTTCCAGTTATTGCAAGGCCAGTACCAAGCTGAAGAGAAAAGGTGGGTGGTTCAGGAAACCTGGCGTGGCCAGCAGTGCCAAGGTGACAAAGGGCATTTTCCTGGCGGTCAGCCTCGAGCTTGCGGGGGGGGTAGGCATGCAGCTGCCTGTCAAAGCAGTGGAGGTGAAAGTGTGCATCGCTATGAGCACATGCAAAAAGCCAGTCCCTGGGAGATGATCAATGGCTTTGGAGGTCTGAGGTGCTCCAGATGTGTTGGCTCAATTGACAGAGCTCATAGTCCTATTGCCTGACCCACACTCTCCTCTGTCCCTTCTTCCCAGAACTAGGCTTTGGAGTTCATAAATACAAAAGAGTGCTTCTGTGATGTGCTTTAGCACCTGGCCATCCACCATGGTCAACGTAGTGCTTTTAAAGTAGTTGGGACAGAGAGCAGTAAGGTGGAAGGGGCAGAAATGCCGCACAGGGGCTCAGCAACCTGCCTGCCACAAGAGCCTGCTTGTTCCCCGGTGCCTTGGCAGAGGAAGCACCTGGGCTGGAGAAATGAGCCGTTTAACTACTGCCTAAGATCAAAATGGAGAGCTCCTTTGGAAAACTGGCAGGTATTAAGCAATGCCCCGGGCAGCTGGAGAAACAGAAGAGGATTTTGTGTTTTGCACAGCGCTGTGAGAAAAGGGAGCGACCTCCCTTGAGGGCTGGGAGACAGAGGTTCAAAGATTTGCCGCCCAGTCTGTGCAACCAGTGAGACACCTGCTTGTGAAAGACCAGACTCCAGGAACGCCTTCCTGGGACACCACCGGCAGCTGCTCTGAGGACAGGAGTGGGGACAGAGATGGGAATTGATCCCTTGGAGCGCCGAGCCTGGCCCGGGTCGCTGCAGGCAGCCACGTGGTGCAGACTCTTTGGAAACTAAATACGCTTCATACCCAAAATCAGCAACATTTCCTGATGTCTTCCTTTGTGGGAAGCCTGTTTGGTAATGCCTCTGGTAACTAGGAACTCTACTCTCATTTCAGGACTCAAGTCTGTTGATGGCCCGTTTGCAGTCAGATGGTTTTTGGTCAGATTGTCCTAGAAGTTGAATAGTTTGTCTTTTTCCTTCCCATCCCCCCACAGTGTTTGTGGAGAGAAATCGTAAGCTCTCTCATCCTTTGCTTTGCTGAAATTCTTCCCATATCTCACAGGACAGGCAGTCCATTCCCTATAATTTTCCTCTTCACAGCACCTGTTATAGTTTGAAGGCTTTTTGAAAATAGAGCTAACTAGAATTGTATACAGTATTCCAGATGAAGTTTCTCCAGTGCCTTTTTTACAATGCTATTAGCATAATTTCCACCTCTTTTCTGTCCAATTTTTACTATAGCATTTGAGTCTTATTTGTATAATATCATCTTTCTGGGATCTCTGCCTGTGATATCCATAACTACTTGAGTACGGACAACACCCTCCAGCTTTCTGCTGTTGACAGATTTCATCACACATCAGCCCTGTTTCACAACACTCCTGTTTTTTCAGTATCTACACTGTTAGTAAAAATATCGAAAGCCCTAAGACTGATCTTTGTGGAACCTCCTCATCTAGCACAGCACCGTTCCAATGTTACTTTCTTATTCCCTTCAGGCAGTTCCTCACCCCTTTACAATTTGCCTATTAATCTCTGTCTTTTCCAGTTTGCCTTTTAATCATCTAAGTAGTGGCACTGAATCAAATGTTTTACTGAAGTCCAATAGGTGAGACCTACCATGCTTCCTCTGCCAAAGAGATTGAGTTATCACATCTAAGAAAGATAATTGCTTAGTTCGGCATGATCTAGTTTTGAAAGACCCATCTTGCATCTTATCCTGTTTCCCAGATACTCATTACATGCAATTTGTAATTATTCATTCCTCTAAATTTGTTCTAAAGGTCTCAATACACAGTTGGCAGATATCTGGTGAGGACATGTTCTATACACTTTCTCATAAATTAGATATGCAATTTTTGTGTGACAGATCTAAATTATATGCTATGCCTACTTGTGCTTTCATCAGCTTTTAACATGGTTTATTTTTAACTCGCAATTTATCAGTCAGGTGAGTTCTTGCTTCTGAAGGGGTAGGCAGATTGACTGACCTTAATCAGGACATTCTATACAAGCTTTATGTGTTTTCCGGTAGTTTATACTTTAGTTCTCAGGTTGTGCACTGTGTGAATGCTTTATGCCTTCAGACTCTGGGGAGAATGGGTTGTAAAATTTGCAGAGTTGCTTGGTTGACTGTAGAATATAAGATTAGTGTTTGAAAAAGGTGAGCAAAACAGCTATGGTAAATGCAGTGTTTCTTCTTGGAGTCATTCAGGTTTTTTGAGAGCTGTAGTGTTGCAGGAGCAGTTCAATGTCAGGGGAACACAGGAATTTGTTTTCATCAGAGAGATGCTTTCCCTGCCAAGCTGGCAGCAGCTGTAGGTGAAGCCTTAACAGGGAAGCACTTTCATAGTCCCTGTGTGTTGGAGAATGGCTCAGAGACAAGGGTCCTGAGCCCACCGAGCAATTGTACGATCAGAGCCTGCTCTAGCTGCTGATGCTGGGCCTCACTAGGGTTTGCTTGCAGCTGCTCGCAGCTGCTGATACCTGAGGAATGTCAAGGACGCTTCAGCCCTGTGTACCGTGGTGTGTCGAAAACAGGCTAAGGGGAATTAGGAATAGTGGTCTGAGAAACCTAGTGTTATGGTAACGGTGGTCTGAGAAACATTGTGTTACGGTACTGTTGTGTATCGAAAACAAGTCAACAGGAATCAGAAATAGTAGCATGAGAAACTTAGTGTTATGAGAAACTTGTGCTGTAAGCTAGCTGCAAGTAGGTGGACCGTGTGAATACGACCCTTAGAGCTTAAGCCAATCAGCTAGTGACTAGTAGGCATAATTAGTAGAAAGATTATAAAAGGCTGTAATGAAAATCAATAAACTGAAGCACACTTTATCACTCATACTGAGTCGGCTACGTTCTTCCTCCTTGGCCTGAGTCCTCAGCTCGCCCAGCCCGGCACCTGTGCTAGGAGGGGAATGACTGAGTGACAGAATAGTGACCTTCACCTTCTGATCCCTTTCCATCTCCTTTCTGACACTTTTATTTTTTTCCTTGTTTAGGGAACTCTTGTAATTTTGGAACTACAGTAATGTTCTTCACCGTGGTCTTCACAAGCTCTCCAAACATCTTTATTCTCTACCAAGATGCTGGATGGCAGTGAACACATGTATGCTTGAGGTTTTGCACACTGCAAGGGCAGAATTCACAAGGCGAGAAAAACCAAGTATACCAAGTATTGTGTAAGGCTCAGTTTTCCAGCGCAGCAAAGATAAAGTTTCTTTCAATCCTCAAGCTGTTTCCCACAACCATTCTGGGGATCACCTCCACAGCCTGCTCTGAGTTATGGGAGATTCTGGGGAAAGGTCATTTCTAGATTTCATCCTGCACCAAGCCTCCATGGTTCATGGGCCTAACATCTAGTGATCTCTCTACCAATTAGCTGATCCACTGTTTCAACCATCACAGGGCAGGAGGTGAGGCAGGGCAGGAGTGAGGGATTTCCACCCGCCCCTCCTCCCCAAGGTTAAGCATCTAACTTTAATTTAACATCCTAGTGGGGCACAGCCCAAGATAAGAGTTAGAGGGGATGCTGATGGCCAGCCTAGTGATAGTGTTTGCATTTTCATAAGTGATCCTGGTGTTGGAGGGTGTGTTCCCCAGTCACATGAGGAAACAACAAAGAAAATATATATTTGCAAGGGTCAGGGGGAGGTCAGCGGGATGAGCATTGCAATTATTTGCTAATATGGGCCTCCTAATGTTCTCTCTATACTGGAGAATATGGGCACTAATAAGCTGGGAGAAGATAGCCATGAGCCTGTGGATTTAGAAATACACCAAAACACTTTCTGCCTTTTAAACTGTATTTCAAATTCCCTGCAAACAGTCTAAAATTTCACTGTCATGGGTATTTATGGGATGGTTAGGGCACAATAATTCACGTTTTGAAGGGTGCTGTCTATATGTACTTGAGATATTGCTGTCATATATCCAGTCTAATCCACTTCTCTCACTGCCAGGTACATAAGGCAGATGTCTGTCATCACCAACCAGTTCTATCCCAAACCAGTCCCTTGAAGATGTTCAAGTTGCTGACTTGCGATGTTGCTGCTTTAGTCATTATTGTGTTTCCTCACGTTCCTCAGGGTCACCGTCTCTTCTTTCCTTTTCATGTCAAAACAGGGCTTGTTGAAGGACCTGGTTATCTGGCACTCTCAAAACATGGCCAAGGTCAATCTGTTTTCTCCATTGTACTGTTTGTACAGCTGTGGGTAATCATGCAGGCTCCGAAATCTCAGCATTCCTTTTGCTCTCTGGCTGCTTTATGATCACTGTCCCCCACAGGCATCCGCACTGAAAGCACTTTGATTTCTGGGAAATAGATATGTTCTTTCGAGACTTTAACTTGTACAGGTGTATGTGTAGTGTATTTTTAATAACGGTGGCTCAAAAGAGCTTACAAGGAGGCTTAGCATTGACACTGATGACTTCCATATGGGATGTATTCTTCTCATGGAAATAAAGAAAAAATTCTACTCATTTTGATATCATGTTCTTAGACCAGTGAGTAGAGATGTGCATGACATCTATAGGTATCCTCAAAGGCCCCCTGCTTCAAGCTTACTCTATATTGTTTATTACCCTTACGTAACCTGTGGTAAAGCTAGAAACCATTAATAAAGACATTTAGCATTAAAAAAGCATTAGGATTAATGTTTCAGTTATTACAGTTTTCCAAGTGAGTATTGATTCTCTGGGATTTGTTGATATACATAGATTTTCCTGGAGGACAGGAAAACAAAAACAGCCTGACTTTTTAAAGCTGAAGTTATAAATGCATATCAAACCTTTATTAGTTTGCTCTCTGTGGCCTTTGCACTGTGACAGAACTATAAAATGTTTATCTGTAATGAGCACCGTTTTATTATGATTTCAGTTTTACACATTGGAGCTCATCACACAGCACAGCAGTCAGGGAGAGCAGGGCCAGAATTCTGGAGACACCTGATCAAGTAACAGACACAGCATTGGCATGTGTACAGTAGCTTCAGCAAGGAGGTTTTCAGCCTTACCATCCTCACCATCTTCAAAGACATCACCCATGACACAAAATTACATTCTTAGACTGACACCTCTTGACAGAGTCTTCTCCAGCTCATTTTCAATGGATAAAGGTCTGTAGCAGTACTGTACTTCATCTACTTCTCTTTAATTCTTTGTTTTGATGCAGCTCCTATACAGAGACCCTTTCCTGAGGCCCCACATAAACCTTCTGGTTTCTGTGCCTGGACCAACACATTTTTATTTTTCTGCAGAGTATGAGGAAGGCTCATGAGCTCCCTGTGGCACAGAGGTGTCAGGTAAAGTCTGTTAGTGTGATGCCAAGACATTGTTCCTAGAGCACCTGGGTACAAAGAGGCAGAACTAACTTTGTATTAGCATTTAAACAACAAGGTGAAGCCTGGTCAGTGCCAGTCACCGTGACCCTGTGGAGCAGAAGAAACTTGGATGAAAGTAGCAGCTAGGTGTGGGAAGGTATAAAGCTGTGTGGGAGGGTAGATGGAAGACCATCAACACAGTTTGAAGCAAAGGCTTCTTCAAATCTGTAACCAGTACCCCTTGCTCCTGACACCTTGTAATACAGTTACCATAACTAATGTAGTTTTATAAGGCAAATGGCCATTCTCTGTGACCAAGTTGGTCAGGTATCAGTCCCCTTTCCCCTCCTCATCAGGCCTGGAAGGTCCTGCACACCAGGCAGATTTCTTCTCCCCCTCCCTATCAGCCTCAAGGTTCCCGGGCACCGGGCTGACCCCTCCTTACCAGCCTTGAAGGTCCCAGGGACCCAGCCAGCCGGGCTGTGATGACCCCAGCACAGAACCAGGAAGCACAGCAGCTCTCTATATAAAATCAAGCAGTTACAACTCCCAAGTGGGACTTGGACTACAACTGCTGCTGGGCAGCGAAACTCATGATCCCTTAGCGGTCAGGGATGCCTCCACCATCGTCTGCTTCCTCCAAGGACTGAGTGACTCATATTCTTTTACATGTTTTGAGTCTATATTATGATTGCTATATTGGTACTGCAAGCCAAGTATTAAGATCTGACCCGAGCTGCAGACGGTCCAAGTGATTAGGAACTGTAAACTAATCTGTGCTACAAATTTTGTGCTATGCTACTTGCAAAATTGTGCTACACTGATTCTGACTATAAAAATCCTGTGCTATTCTGGTCATAAAATTGTATGTTATGCTGATCATAAAATTTTGTTTAAAAAATAAAGCTTTAATTGTAACTACAACTTAGTGCTGTCATCATTCCACCCAGGATCCCAGTAGTGTTGAGTGATAAATCCCCTTTCACATAAAATCTCTCCTGACCCAGCTGGGAATAAATCATCTAGACGAAGTGCCATCCAAATATCTGGTGCAGGTGTAGCTATTTTTGCAGCAAGGGAACCAGATTTACTCTGGTATAAATATAGTAAATAGCTCTTTCTCCAATCTAATAAAAAGCAACAGATGGCTCTTCAGCTCTGCGTTGTGGAAGGGGCCTACTAAGCGGAGCGGTCAACTACAGAGGAAACAGTGTCTGGCAAAGTTGAAGAAGGTCCCTGAATCTGCAGCACCAGCAGAGTGCATGCTCAAGGAGGCACTTCTTAATCTCTTTTTTTCCTATAATCTCCACAGCCGCTAATGTTAGTGTTGCAGAAGCCAGAGGGTTTTGCACCAAAGCGTGGAGAAGGGATGGGCATCCAGTTTGTTTCTTCATCCCGCAGAACAAGTGAAGCTTCTTGCTGGGGTTTGGAGTCTGTCACTGGGAGTGGTTAATATGAGGTGTGCAGGATAATTTATGCGAAGAAGGTTCCCCTAACCTGTCATTTCTTGTGTGGGTGTGTTTTGCCCTGGAGCAACCTTAACTGCTTTTTAACAGAACTTTTTGGTGGGAATTGTTAGGAAAGCACTTCTCTAACTACCTGGGCCTTGCTGTGTTTTTTTGGCTCTACCTATACCGCAGCATAAAATATTCTGTACATTGGGAATTCTCAAGACCTGATAGTCATCTCAATGGCACCCAATTTAAACAGAACTATTCCTGATTTACATTGGCATGAATGAGGGTTTTCCATATATAATGTAATATTTTCCCTCTCTCAGATGTAGATACAAACACCATTCTCAGACTCCTTCTTATAGAGGGTTAACTGCAGGTGAATCAGATTAACTATTTTTCGAAGAGCCATTGCCTCCAAACTGCAGCGTTGAAGAGGACGAAGAGCATGGAGGAGAATATGTATTTGGCACTGCTTATCCTGGGGGTAGTGAGGGCCGTAGGTACTGAAGAGCATCAGAAACTTTTCAAGGTCGGTAAGGCTCAGATAAGGTACTTAGGTATGTGTACAGAAAAAAAAAAAAAAAAAAAAGGCAAATTCTGCTGTTATCCAACCAGATTTACCATTTCTGATGAGAACTGCACCTTCAGGCTCCCTCGTTTTTGTGACTCTCATAGCCGAAGGAAATGTTTTGGTTTTGCTTTGTTTGCAGCTCTTACTCCATCAGCACCTTTTCCCAAACTACAACAAACTATCATTTTAGCCCGTACCTTTTCTTTGTCTTGCCATTACAGCAGAAAAGCCCAGCATTTAATCGAGTGGGCCAAACAGAAGCAGCTAGAAATATAAAGGATAATATCACTTCAGTTATAATTTGAAAGGGGCTCGGGCACAGACAGGGGTATCGGAGAGATGAGGGAGAAAGGTTAGTCCAGGCACTTTATTTCTACTGCATTAAAGGTGTTGGGGTTGATGTAGATGCAGAATAAAGATATTCTCACCTTGAATTCCTGCAAAGCAATTCTTTCATGTGGTTGCCTCAGTAGAATGAAATCTTTATGAAATAGCCAGCACACCCACCCAGACATAAGCCAGGCACTAACTGTTCATGTTTAGAAACAAACTTTCCCCATGGGTACATTATTCATAGTCAGTCACTTGCCAGTTTTCCCTTGGAAGATATAAACTAAACATTAGGAATAAAGGCAATGCACAGTTGGATCTTTTTTTTTTTTTTTTTTTTTTTTTTAAGCTGGATGCTGTAGCAAACCTGTAGGTTCTCTCTGTCAATTTTTCTACTCGCTCATTTACAAGTCAGCTAAGTCAATGGTGTATTCCCAAAGTCTTCCCGCTGATCCACTCAAAGGCTGCACCATGGTGTATTAGCACCTGGGAGGATCCTGCCACTTCCAAGAGAAATCCCAAATTCAACTGGCTGAAAAACATTCACAACTCTCAAACAATATTCCAGGAAAAGAGGAAATCATCCTCCCAATCCATCCTGCCAAAAGACTATGGGCATCTCTGTTGCCTGAGAAACATAACAGGTTGTTGTTATAACAACTAGAGACCAGCTGACCTCCCGCTTCATCAACCAGCTGCAAAACTCCCTGGTCATGTAACAGTCTCAAATCGAACATCTGACCTCAGTTTATGCAATTCCCCTATGACCATTTCGTAAGCTTTTTGTCACTTCACTCAGTTGTTTGTTGAAAGCATTCACAGTTATGTCGGCTAATGTGAATGTTTCAGTATGACAGATAGCCCTATGGTTAAGCCCTTCATCTCCAAGGCAACCTCATAACCTTGCTCTAAGAGTATGTCACTTCATGAGATAAAATGAAAATCAAAAGGATATGTAGAGATAATTCCAGCTCTAACTATCCATAGTGCTATTGCTTTAGCAGAGACTTTAGGAGACATTCCCAGGCTCGTTATTTAAACACGGGAGGGGAGGCCATCGCAAAGATAGCATTTGTCTCTAAAGCTAAAGAAGCCATATGGGTCCATGAAGAGTACACCGAGCTCTGCCAGTAAACCCCGGGATCTTAAACAGTTTCCAAAGAGCTACATGGAAATGACTGAGGGCATGAAGATATGGTGATTTCATGTATCTGCCAAATCACTTGCGCCCCACCTCTGTACAACTCCATTACCTGAAGCTGTAGGTGTTGAAGCAGCTTCACGAGTGTGGTCCTTGAGTTGGACCCGCCACCACACCTGGGTCTGCCCTTCACAGCGTTCAGCTGAGTCGATATCAGACTTGGGCTTTTCCAGAGCAGGGAAGATTCATTCTCCAGTTCCTTGAGCACCATTTCAAGGTGGTCTCTACTGACAATACTGCAGCAGAGCAAAAGCCTCACTGAAGAATACTGCGTAGGAGTGTTATTAAAGTAGGTCATTGCCCAAAGCGGCAGACTTCAGGGATAAAATGAATGAAGTTCCTACCTCCTACATTGGTTGTTGTCAGTTGGATTGCCTACTCAAAAAGGCACAGATCATATCTGGTCCACCTACTCATGCTCTGTCCTCACAACCATGAGTCTTAAAAAACATTTTTTTCCATATGAAAGCCAAGTTACTGATCTTGTCTTAGTGCAGTGCAGTCATATGCAACCTATATGCAACATCTCAGTGCGACCTTAAGTCTCTGAGAAAACCTTGTTGGTTTGTGTTAGCTTGCTTGGTTTTTTTGCCCTACCCCAAATCCTTGCATCTCCCTTCTGTTACCATTTACTCCTTCACATTTGTGCAGGTGCCATTCTCTTCAGGCATAAAGAAAACGTAACTGGAAGGGGAGGGGGAAAGATGTAATTACCAGCTAGAAGAAAGTGAAAGATATTGCAAATCACATGCTGCCAAAGAAGTTTAATATTGTCACATTTAAATGGTTTGTCTCAGAAAAAAAAAAAAAAAAAACAAAACAGTTCTTATTCATGACAACATCTCAGGGGTGTCAAGCAAGCCGTTAAGTATCTCTGGGCATGTGCAAAGCATCACTAAGTCCTACAGAAATCAGTGGAAGACCAAACCGCCACTCCCCACAATTGGCTGAAAATTCTCCACTGCTGGGAAACATTCGATTGCCAGCACTCTTTCCACTACCATGTGACACTGACATAACCAAAAGTACCCTGCTTTTTGTCCAAATAGCTACTGAGAACAGGGAAATAGCGGAGTTAAAAAAAAAAGAGTATGTGTTCCTAAGTGTGTGCAGCGATGACACTGACACAAGTAATTTCATGTTCTGATTTTGCTACATAGAAAGCAGAAAGCTCCTGTGCAGCTGGTAGGGCAGCAGTCAAGTTGTTGCACAACTCCGTATGTAGATCAGGTCTGAGGAAGTTCTGCTGGGATCCTCTTTGTACTCTGTTTTTCAAATGCGATAAACATCTGTTTTCTTAGATTAGGAAATTGGAAAGAGGTTTTGTGTTACACTTCTGAATAATTTTGAACACTGCATGACAGAGTCATGTGTTCTAGATATTTGGAAATACCAGGTTTTAGCAACTCCTGCTTGGCTGCCCAGAAACTGTTTAAAGCTCATTGTCAAAGCTTTACTCCTCTACTATCTGTCTTAGGTGATTTATTGTCCTCCTGAACCTGTTGACAGATTCACCTGGTATTCGAGTTTGCTGATAGTTGCATTTGTTTATTTGTTAAACACAAAGAACTGAGCCAGCCCTGATGTCCCTGCTCTGGAAGAACTCCCAAAGGCTGGGCTCTGCTAACATTGGACTCTGAAGCATTCCCATCTCACAGCTGAGCTTATCTGGTTTCTAGTAAGGTGAAAGTTCCACCCAAAATTTTTTCCCTAGTCAGGATGTTTATTATCACTCTTGGATGCTCTTTCCCTCTGTCAAATCAGATCGACCAATTGACCAACAGATTAAAAAATTATTAAGGGTGGGGAGGAAGGACAGACACACATGCACACCCACACACAAAGGCTGTGAGCAATCCGCCTTTGTGCTCATATGGGCTTTGTTTCCTTGGGAATCCAGCTACTAAAACAGTCAACAGCTGTGACAAGAAACAAAATCTAGCAGCAGAGGAACAAGACTGATGATTTGAAAGCCTTTTGGTTTTGGGATTTGCAACACCCATCTCTTTTTTTTAAACACGTTAGAGGAACATATCAGGATGCGTGAGCAGGAAAAAAAAAAAAGCATTAATAATCCATTGGGGCAAGCAGTCTTTTTGTAGCTCATCATCATCATAAGAACTGAAGTGTCATCAAGTGCCCTCTGTGCAGGGAGATATTTACAGTGTGCGTCCACCTCCCCGTGCTCAATCCTGTCATGTCTCCTATGAACACTCACACTAAATCCCTAGCAGAGGAATCACTATTTTTACCATGCCTGACAAAACATGACAAAATAGCCTGGGTTCAGAAATTAGCGGTCCCAAACCAGGCCAAATTAGCAATCCGCAGTCCCCTAACGCCCCTCTCCCTGCCTGCAGACCAG